CCCCCCCCCCCGACAGCCCTTCTTGCACCAGGTATCATCAAGCTTGATGATGCCACTGCAGGGAAACAGAGATGAACTATTATACCCCAGTGCAAGATGTACACAGGCAGAGGGATCAGTCTCTGCTGTTTTTGGTAAGCACAATGTAGGAGAATTATACTTTGCTAGCATAAAGTTGTATCTTGGCTATGTGACATGTCAAATAAATTTGCTGAACTGCCAAATTCCTTGATCTCTCTTGAGTTTTTCCCCCTGCAAGACTGGGGTTGGGTAACATATAGAAGAGAAGGAAGTATTCAGTCATGCTAGACTTCAGAGCTTTATGGTGCACTCTGTCTCCCTTCTGCATCATAGAGAGACATAGTTGCTGCTGAATGTAGGTGTCCACTGGTATGATGGACAGAATTATAACATGGATTGGTCCATTTTGGTTGCTGGAGTCCAATGAAGTCTTCCTCCCACATATACAATGCAGATGTTTTACATCTTTGTCCCTAGAATAATACAATAGTTGATGAGTATGACTGTAAATCAACCAGTAAATTCATAAATGTGATTGGTTACCAAATGTGAGGAGTTTAATCTATTTTGTCAATATTTTCAGCTGATAGTCATGATGAATCAGCACCCTTCCCTCACCACAAGATTTGGACATGTCTCCACTATCATTCCAATTGTGAAATTGGGAGTCATCATGTGTGAAACTTAAGTTTTTGTAGTAGGCAGAGATTTCAAATATAATTCTAAGAAAAGAGAAAAGTGGAGAACTCAGAATTTTAGTAGACACCTACAATTCATTCTTACTGGCCTTTAGTAACTATAACTCTCTAATCTCACACTAATTTCTAGATTAACAACCAAATAAAATCACAATTTCATATGAATTTTTATACCAAGATATATTGCAGGATTTACCTTGCAATCTATTTCCCTGGGGTTGTTTTAACCATTGCATTGGAACTCTGGAAAGATATTAAAATTCAGTTCACAAAGGCATTTTGGAGAATTCTGATATGGCATAAGCTAAATAAAATATAAGTGGTGGTTCCATGAGATGTCGAAAGAGAAAGGATTTTAAAAGTACATGCAACTTTCAAATAGCATAACTCTGTAAATAAAACAGTCAAATATTATGAGTCAGGTCCTAATTTTAACAAATCAAGCAGCACATGAACAGATGCTTAATTTATTTAATGATATCCCATGCCTTGTTACACTGTGTTACGCACACTCTGTTTCAAAACCAAGGCTTTTTGAAATTCATTTACAGAGGCTTAACTAATCTGCTTTCTTTACTAATGCATGCATAATATGCCTAAGTATTGCTAATTCAGCATCAAAAAATAAATTATACTTTTAAGCCAAACAATTAACCTCTGCTTTAAAAGGCAGCTTTCAGCAACCACCAGGAGCACAAATACAGATGTTGACCCTTCTTCTGACCTCATCTTTTATAATCTATGAAAAATTCACCCAATCAAGTTAATATTAAATCAGGCTGCTATTGATTTGAGCTGCATGAATCAAATTGCTGTTCAGCTAGGCTTCTTCTGGATTTCTGTTTCACTCCCAAACTGCTGTGCCTTGGGATAGTTTAGCAGAAGAGATACTAGTACTGCAATCTGTAGGCCATTTCCAACATACTTTATAAGAACTCCAATGTGTGTATACTCAAGTCAGGCTGGGAACGTACTGTCCATAAAGCTTTCTTGAATCTGGTAGCAGAATGCATGAACAAAGGCAAGAGGCTTTTTAGAGATATATTTCCTTACAGAGCATTGTAGTAAGATAAACCCTCATTTGAAACAGAAAAGTTAACTGCAATCCTCCACTGGAGGAGGAGTGAATATTCCATGTGTTGTTCTAAGCTGTCCTTGCTGTTATGCAATGGCACAGCTCAGTCTTGAATGGGCAAATAAGACCTATTAGCGCTATAAAAGATCTGCTCCTAATAGAGTGGAAAACTGCTCATACTGATTTCTGGCTATAAGTACTGTTGTAAATATAGTACTGTGCTACTGCTATATTAGATAAGCCCTGTGGGCAAGATATGAGTAAAAAAGGAGTGAGATGGAAATCTATTTCTTAGATAGGAGATGAGTAAAAAAAGCTGTGTCCTCTCCAAAAACAAACCCACTTTACCCGCATAAAGTAGGTCGTGGAGCATTTTTGGTTGCTTTCACAGGGCAACAGAGAAAAGATGGGAGAGGTTTAGGGGGGATACTTCATTTTAAGATGAGGTGCTTAAATATTCTACTATAAGAGGGGATTGATCTATTTTTCACTTTAAAAAAGCCTTGAGGCTACTTGTAGTATTTGTCCTGTGATAAAGCCCTGTGGGAATAACACTACTGTATTTCTGGTATAAGAAACACATCCTGGACTCTAACTTCTACTGCTCTGAGTTTTTATGATTCCTGAAGACTAAAGACTGGTGGTCGCAGGGAGCAGGGGAGAGTCCTTGGCCACATTGTCATAAAGTGTGTATCTGTCTGTGTGTCTCATGTGCCCCCTATGTTTTCCCCTTTCAAGTTGTTCCCAAATACCAATCATGCCTTGTAGGAGTGACTGGTCATTTACTCCTACATCTTCATCCAAATGATCACTTCCACTTTTGAAAAACTCCCATTGAGCTAAAGCAAGTTGCCCTTCCTTTCAAACTTGGGGCAAAATGACCATTTGCACCACCTTGAAGATTGTATTGGCCATTTAGTGATAACAAATATTTGTGGGCATGAGTGTGTGTGAGTGATTTGGGGGTGTCCTATGGTCTATACTTTACCCACTACTGATTGTTGTTATAGTTGTTGCTGTGTGCCTTCCAGTTGTTTCTGACTTATGGTGAACCTAAAGCAAACATATCATGAAGTTTTCTTGACAAGTTTCTTCAGAGGGAGTTTGCCATTGCATCCTCTGAGGCTGAGACAGTTTGACTTCCCCAAGGTCACTGGATTTACATGACTGAGCTGGATTTGGACCCTGGAATTCAAAGTCATAGACCAACACAAACCACTACTCCAAGCTGGCTCTCCCA